AGCTGCATGGGGGCAAGGAGACTAAGTCATGGTGACACCCATGTAAAGATGGGAACCCATAGGATGATGTCCCCAGTGAAAGAATAATGAGGAGGAAAGAATCCTTCAGTGCAAGGGGAGATCCAAGGGAAAATTACTTGTCTCCAAACTGGATCTGCGATAATGGTAAAAAACAAAACAAAACTAATAATTCATGATCAGTAGTTAGTAGTCAAATGATTTGTTGCCCATATTCATACTGAGTGATCTAAATATGCCACTTCAACTCTCCTGCTGAAAATAATTATCAGTTATTTCAAGTATAACAAACATATTTTGAAAGGCATCAAAATGCTCATAAAATAATAGTGAATAAACAGACCAAAATCTGTGGGAGCAAGATCCCAGAGAAGTAAGCAGGATCCTAAAGCTACTTTCCCCCTAAAGGCATGTGCTGAACCCAACCCTGCATTGGAGCTCTGTTTTTAACTGCCTCATGGCCCTTGAGGAGACCACAGGGAAACCACATCACTTTAAAGGTGGGTGTTCACAAGGCCATTAACTCAAGGTAGTGGAGGGACACAAGCAAACCCTTCCCACTCTCATTTCCATTGTCACTGTACCTCCAGGTGACAGCTTGCGAAATTGTATGGTTGTTGCAAAGTATGGAAGAGGGAATCCTTCCCAAAAGTTAATAATCGCTGGCATACCCCTTCATCCCAGGTCAAAGCCAGGACCTCAAAGGGCAACATGTTTAGAGGATCAACCAGAGAAAGAGAATCCCCCTAGCTAGAGGCAACTGGCCTGTCTAGGACTTGGCTCTAACTGCAACATGGAAAGAGAGAGAAAAAGAAAGAGGAAAAATAAGAAGAAAATGAAGAGAAGGAGGAAGAGAAAAGGGAAGAAGAAGGAAAAAAGACAAAGAAGAGGAAGTTAAATAGGAAAACAAGGAAAGACAAAGAGAAAAATTAAAAAGAAGAAAAAATTAGTAAAGGAGAAAGAAAAGAAGAAAGGAAGGGAGGGAGGAAGGAGGGAAGAAAGAAGAGAAAGAAAAGGCTATCTAACCACATGCTCTCAATCACTGCAGGTCTGAGGCTGACATTGGCATTATTAATGTGTGAAAACAGGTCAAGAACTTAGTAAAAATGTACCATATATATATATATATATATATATATATATATATAACCACAAAGGATCTATGTCCAAAGTATATAAAGAAAGCCTATCAATCATCAACCTAAATAACAAACAGAAAGAGGTTCTCTAAAAGAAGAGATGTTTATTTGGGAACAGAGCAACAGGAAAATGCATGCCATGGTAAGCTATGTGCACATTCACGGAGATGACAGAGGACAAAGGTTTTTAAAGGAAAAAAACGAGAATTACAAAATTGTTTTGAGATAATCATTTTTGACTACAAAGATCAATAACAAGGGCTATGCCAGTCTCAGGTTGGACAGGCAGGTGCTGAGCAGATGTCCTTGCAGCAGTATTTTTTTGTGTAAGGTTGCAATGGCCTTTGTACCAGGTTGTGGTTTTTGTAGAGTCTTTTTCATTCTCAGCCAGACAAGTGTGAGAACCTGCTCTTCATGGCTTTCCCCAGCTCTGTCAGGGTTTTCTTAACGTTAGTGACTTCATTTTGATTTTGACAACTTTCGCACAATCAATAACAACAAAAACTCAAGACATTTCACGAAAGTGGAAAAATAAAAGGCCAATAAACATATAAAAATATTTATAGTAAGACTGCAATCAAACAGTTTTTGTCTTTGTAGGAGGCACTCTCTCCAGCAGTCTAGGATACCCTGGCATCTCGCTAGCCATTGGTGCTTGAGACATTGTAAAACTTAGCCTCTTCTAGTGCCTACACTCATGGAAATGACTAAGACTCAACCAAACCCTATCCCTCATTTAAAATGAAAAGGCTCCTAAAAGGATGAAATCAGAAAATAAGACAATCTTGAAGCAATAGACTATATTGCGTCTTAAGACAAAGGATGATGAACATCCAGTTGAGGATGTGGCGTTCTCACTGCTTCCTTCTAGTTCATGTTTGAATTTCCCTTGCAATAAATGAGCAGGAGAGAGTTCTTCAAGATGGTTTGAAAAAAAATCCATAGATTTTGGAGGTGTCAGGGCATTATTCTGCAGAGGACAATATTTATTGGGATATTAAGGAGGGTCGGAGTTAAGATTTTATTAAGTTAATTGAAATAAAAACCCCAAACCCTATTCTTTTGGCCACTGTGAAGGACGGTGCCTAAACCCCACAGATACCATCCACATTGGCATTTATCACCCCGATCCCCACACTTGGTGGTGGTGGTGGTGGGGATGTGGAGGGGTGTGCAAATGCAGCGTTTAGCAACTTGAATAAACCCTGAACTTTTTTTTGCTGTGATGTCCCTCTTCAGCATCTCACTTCACAGGGACCTAGAGAAGAGTTTTATAGAATGTATTGTCTCTAAAAGAACGGTGAGCCGTTTAAACAATGTAACGATCACAAATTAACAAAAGCTGTTCTAAATGCCAATCACTTCTTTTAATCCTATCTACCAAGAGATTAATTAAGCCAAGTGGGAACTACATTTCAGAGTTTTCCCACTAAGATGGTACTCCATATAAACTGCTGGGCTGCAATAGTTCAGAAGGACAGTGGATTTTTTTTTAATTGATACCTCTTTAAAAAAAAATTCTCCTTTATTCTCCATCTTGCCAAAACCATGGTTCTCAACCAAAATTGTGCGTCAAATCACCTGGAAGGCTCGTTAAGGCACAAATGGCTGGAGGGTTTCTGATTTGGTAGGACTAGGGTGGAGCCTGAGAATTTGCATCTCTAATAAGTTCCCAGGTGATGCTGATGCTGCTGATTTCGAACCTACTTTGAGAACCGTTGGCCTTTTTGTGTTTTCTTTAGCTTCACCAGTACTTTATTTGCTTAAGGTTCATTAGAGAATGTTAACTTACCTCTTCATCCCAATTACATTAGTTGTAAGGTGCTAGTAGTTTTAATAATTGCTAAAGCTGTAAATGAGTAAATATGTAAACAAAAGGTCATGCTTTAATCTGCAAATTTTGAATCAGTTCTCAGCAGGAGTTAAGATCCCTTAGATCAACTTTTCATGATTTTGTTAGTTGTGAAACTGTGTTATTTAGAAGTTGCTTATCTTATTAACAGATTTTTTCACATCCCAATAACAATTATGTCATTTGACCTATCACTACGCTGATGCAAAAGGTAAGCATTTGTAAACTTTAAGAATAAACCTATGTACTGTATAATTCAATGTCAATCCTAACAGCATAAAGCTATTTTAATTAAATTAAAACCTTTTACTCTTTAGATACTATGTATGTCATTATTGCTGGGAAAGGGTAGCTTATAGTTTTGGTTGTCGTTTCATTCCCAATTTTCCCAATGGACCACTATGGAACTAACATCTTTGGTTTCTAGTTGCTTTGTCAGTAGTGGAAATGGATTTGATTGATATCCTCTCTCTTACTCCTTTTTGTGACCCACGGCATCGGAATTTTACAGGATAGTTGATTGGGCTCTGTGTAGACTCTGTAGCCAGAGGTCTAAACCAAGTCACAGATTATTAGACTATTTTCCTTAGACTATTTTCCTTCTCCAAAATAAACTTCGAGGACCCTTATATTATGATCTTGCACCCTATCCTTTGTATTCTATGAAGATTTGTAAAGCATTAGATAAAGCAGTTGTCAAAAAGATCTGGCTGTATAAATACACATTATTTCAGGAAGGCATTTCTCTTGAGGGTGTAGAAAATAAATTGAACCAATTGAAACCCAAATCTGGCTGCAGTAAAAGCCTAAAAGCCATTGAAATCTCAATCACATCTTATTACTAGAAATCTTCCTCAGGTGTTCCATGATTTAGTGAAATTTTAGATGAAGACCACAAGGTCTTTTGGAATGGCACCTCCCTATGTCCTCTCCAGGACAAGGTAAGACTATAAGAATTAGCAGTAAACCTAAATGCCTATGGACAGACAAATGGATAAAGAAAGTATAAAATATATGCAATGGAATATTTTCCAAACTTAAAAAAGAAGGGGATCCTGCCATTTGCAAGAGAACATGAAGAACATTGTGCTAAGTGAAATAAGCCAGACACAGTAAAACAAAATATTGCAGGCTCTCATTTATAGGTGGAATATTTTTTTTAAAGAAGAGCTCAAGTATACAGAGACAGAATAAAACAGGATTACCACCAGTGGGAAGGGGTGGGGTGGGGAAGAGGAAATGGGGAGATGTAGGTCAAAGGATGCAAAAAGTAAATACGTATGGACAAGTCTACAGATCCAATATACAACGTAAGGACTAAAGTTAATACAATCGTATCATTTTAGTAGATTTTACCTGCTCTTGTCACACAAAAGATAGCTATGTGAGATGACAGATGTGTTAATTTGCTTCACTATTGTAACCATTTTACTATCTATATGTATGCCATAACTTCATGTTGTAAACCTTAAATACACACATAAAATTTATTTTTAAAAAAGACTTAGTGGTAAATTTGGCCTTAATATTCCGTGTTAAAGCCAAATGTTTATAATCAGCTAAATTTCGTATCATACAGAACCCTGTGTTTACTGGATGCCCCATTCAATTCATATGCTTTTTTTCACATGATATGTGCAGGATCCAAACATGTAAGGAAAATGAGTGGGCAGCCCATTCTGGGTACCAAGCACAGAGCAAAGGCTCGGTAGGGAAGAGGATAAGACAGAAGCAGCCGTAGGCAGAACTGAGCCAAAAGTGGTTTCATGCAAGTACTTCTCTAAATTCTTAATTTTTGACTTATTCCTCTGCTTTTTAAATGTGACAGACATCTAATCCCCACCTACTGTCTCCCCAACCCTAACTTCTTGTGACTTAAGTGTTCTTTGGCAGACAGCCTGCAAATGAAATGTAAACGTCTAGGCATATAATGCTTGCTTACTTGACATAATCAACAAAGAACTAAACCTGAACTTTGGCAAAAGTCTATTAATAATTGACAAATAACGGAACAGTCAGGGTGTAGAAGGCAATACATGAAGAAAAATAACCAAAACAACATCTGGGGTTGCAACAAACTGAAAATGCTCCCCCGGCTACTTTGTATCAATGATTATGAACAACATGCTAAATCCACACTTCAAAAGTCTATATATGACTATTATAGGTCCGGGGCAAATGATCAGGAAACCTTGGCTGATAACATGGCAGCATTTTCCAGGTAAGAAAATCTATTTTTTAAAGTTATGCTTAAAATTGCACAAAGACATTATACCAAAATAAAATCTAGTTTTATGTTGGTGAAGAATTATTTGTCTATCTTTGTGCTTGGTAGAGAGAAGAAAAATTCTTGGGGCTATGATAAATCTTGGCTTTTAAGTTGTTTAAAAATATTCCAACCTGAGAATCTTAAACAACTGACTGTAAAAGCCGACCCTATGTTACCTCACTTGGAAGTATGATGATAATTAATTTAACTACATATAGAAAACTAGTGATAAATTCTGATAACTCCATTTTCTTTTTCTCTGAGAACAGCAGTGAGTGTTTATGTTCATGTTGTAGGAAACAGCATTAAATGCAAGATAACTATCTTATCTCGTTGAACCAGATTGGATTGTTGCTTCAAATGTTCCCATCCTGCTGGCTTTCCGTGTTATCATTCATTTTGATTACCGTTGTCTAAACTTTCACTTTAGATTTCGATTTGTCTATGTAGCATTAATCTTTCAACCTTGCTGTTTCATCTCTCCTCCAGAGCGCTTCATTTCTCTTCCTAAATTAGTTTTCCCTTGACTTTCATACTTCAAAGCACAAGATGGTGGGTGTCATGGTTTATGTTTTCTGTTTGTAATAAAAACAAGAAATAAAATAACTTTCAAAGGATGTTTTTCTTTCAGCAGTTATAAAAATGGTTTATTTGCTGGAGTATGAGAGGAGTGTCTTCACTACACCACCCTCTTGCTGTCTTAACCATGTAACATTATAGCTTTTAGTGAAGGCAATGGATATCGTGGGTACTCATTGATGGTGGCAGATTTTGAAAAGGCAGAAAATATGCAGGAACAGAGGATTGGCTTTGCTTCCTGATTTCTTCTTTAGTCTATAATAAAATTACTCAAAATCACTCTTCTATATGTAAATTAGGAGGAATGAAATCGTTCTAACTAAGGCGGCTCCTTGTAGATAGCACTGATTCACCCACAAATCAGAGAATGGGGACAGTGTGAAGGGTAGGACCTCTCCCAACCCCTTGGAGCCTGGACTTTGTCTTAGGTGTTCCCTGGAACCCAAACGAGTTCAACAAATGCTGGGGAAGTCATGGGAAGGGAAAGTTGGCTAAGAGGAGGGGTGTCAGATTCTGCATGATCTTTTCCAATTTCATATTTTGGATTCATTTAAAAGTTTCTGCTCTTGAGAGATGTCCCTTTCTTGGGTCAATTTCAACTGTATTCACCAAGTAATGTGATTTTCTTTTGAGTGGTCTCCTTAATTCGAATATGTCATTTGAAAGAAGGAAATTTCAGCCCCTTGACAGATTTACAGGTTGGTGTCTCCGCATTGCTCAGGTCACAGTGCTCAGGTGACTACCTATTTCATTTACATAGAGCCCTCCCCACTCCTGTGTCCCCTCCACTCCCTGCTAGTTAATTAACTCAGGCTGATTAGGGGGCTTGCAGGGTAGACTCTACTACACACCGAGGATAGCGCCACGAACCAGACAAAGTTCCTATCCACAGGAGCTTACATTCCACTGGACGTACACTGACCTCCACAATGCTGTTGGATTGACCTGATGCAAAGTGGACCCAAAACACTTGGCCCAGTGCAGGTCTCAGAGAGGGAGCAAAGGGCTGCAGCAAAGCAGATGGGCCACCTCTGCAGCCCTAGAAATTCTATAATAGAAACTTTGTGAGATATAGAAGGCTTAATGACTTTCAAGTTGTGAACTGGCAAAGTGCCTCATGCCTGCATGAATAACATGGCACCGGAGTGAGTATTCGCATCCCAGGTGTGTGCTGAGTAACTTAGGGGCAGGACACAGATAATGAGAATGAGTTTGCAATACTACCTTTTCCATGAACTTTGATCATTTCCTTTTGTTTAACTTTAAAAGAAAAAAAATGTATTAATCTACTTTCTTTGGCAGACAGCTGATTTTTTTTTTTTTTTTATTATCAACTACCTGAGATTTTATTGCAACAAATGTTAGGGGCTGTTACCTATCTAACATCTCAATTCCTCTTTTGCTGTGTAACTTGCTACTTGACCCTTGATTCCTCACCCCATATCATCTAGCTGGTCACGTGCAACTAAGAATAGACTTTCTGCCAGGGTTGTGTTGGCTTTGGGTTGCTGGCAGGAAGGAAATCAGCCTGAAATTTCCCATTCTGATCCAAATGAAAGGAACAATTCAACCAAACCTCAGCTAACCCATTGTGGCGCAAGGTCAGGGTATTTCAAAGACATTTATGAAATATATACACCTCTCCTTCCCACAAGTACAACAAAAGGTCATTCACAGTGACAGCTTTTATCTCTCTGTGCTCAGCTCTGACAACCACAGTTTAGAGTTCTGGGGATGTGGGCCAGTCATGTGACCCAGAAATTACTTGGAAACATTTCTGAGTAATACTAGAGACTCTAACATTATTTTGGCAAAGAAAAAAATTTACAAAAAGACAAATACATGCAACCACCCAGAAACCAAAATTTCTCATTGCAAATATGACAAAATAGGGCAAATATCACTTACTACATTTTGGATGGCCTGAACTGATCGAGGATAATTTAAAAAGGAACAGTATTTTGTTTCTCCTACACATTAACTCAAAGTAGCCTTCTCAACTATGGTCTCTACATGTTTTGTGGCTTTTTTTCTCTGAAATTATTACCGAAAAATATTCTTCAATTTAGGTATTTAGAAGCCCCATGATTTCAGAAAAGGAAGCTCATCTCTTTTCTGCCACATCACCCATTGACACTGAAAATTGTGTTGTTCTCTTTTAAATAACCAGTGGGTAAAGGTGATATTGTTCTTTCACTTTAATACTTGAGAAGCAATATCAACTTTTAGTGATATTTTCGGTATTCTTCTCATAGGCATAAATGTCACAAAATCATTCAGCTATTATCCATAACAGGTGAATAAGGTTCTTTTTAGTTTGTATGTTTTAAATATTTAGATTAAAAATTTAATGTAGAGAATGTTGGAATGCAATTTGGAGCAAATTGGAGTGAAGAGGTGAGGCAAAGCAGACTGACCACCTCTGCAGCCCTAGAAATTCTAGAAACTTTGTGAGATATGGAAGGCCTGATGACTTCCAAGTTGTGAACTACAAAGTGTCTCATGCATTATGTGAATTACATGGTACTTGAGTGAGTATTCCCATCCTACATGTGTACTGAGTAACTTCTGGACAGTAAAAAAATTTATAGAACTTTAATTCACTGTGTTCAGTTAGTGTGGTTAGAAAACAGCACGAAGTTTTAAAGCTGGCCGATGCGTGAGAGTCTTCCTTCAACAGAGTAGCTACCTCATAGGGAGTGTACATATCACCTGATTTTTTGATAAGTTAAATTTGAGATGTATTATTTAATTGGTTCAACTGTTTGCCAATCTTCATATCCTTTTTCCAAAGTGGAGGCTCCATTAGAGCACAGTCCAAAGTTAAAGCGAGCTACTAATTTATGTATGATTGTGGGAAAGTTATTTAAATTTGGAGTAAAAAGCTGCTATTGAACTATCTGATACAGTTATTGTAATTGCTATTTGAACAATATCAAAACATAGAGGACTCTTTAGAGAACATGTTTTCTAATGCCATTGAGTTTTATCTAATTTTGCCTAGGAATTTCATTTTGTGCATTAGTTGATAAGTCTCTGTAATATCCTCAGAGCATAAAATAGTGTTTTACGGGGAAGGAAGAGCACGCAATTAATAGTAAAGTGACTGCGCCACCACGTGGACAAACGTCAAACTACTATCTGGGGATAGAAGGATGGAGCCTTGTCTTATAAATGGGAGTTTAACATTTAAAAATGTCTCTGTTGTTGCACACACAGACACACACTCACACACACACACACACACACACACACACACACACACACACACACACACACACAGCTGGGGCCCTGTAGCTTTGTATGTTCTCTTCATAAAAGCTTTCGTTGTTTCTCCAGCTCTAAGTAAATATTAATGCCTTCCAAGGCTGGCATGCCGATGGCTGCTATTAAAATCGTTTTCTCTCGTTCTAATAACACACTTAGAGATGATTGGTAATAAAAACTCTCTTCAAGGCTTCTGCTTCTCTCCCTTCAAAATGGAGATCAAAGAATCATGCTGTGAGGGTCAATTGAGAAGAAAAGACTTCCAGCAACAGAGCATGTGGTGTGACATAAAATAATGACAATTATGATGTTCAAAGGAATAGCATAGAAATCACACAGTAAAACTTCTTTATTATGCTTTTCAGGGACTTGATGTTTTTACTTTATTATGTGAGGAAGGGTTAGATTACAGACCCCAAGCTACTCCACAAAGCAACATGAAGGCAGAATTTCTTCTTCCACTCCAGGAAGTATTGCTTCAATTAAGGACTTTTTTGGGGTTACTCCATTACTAAATCATACATCACTATATTTACTAAAAAATCTTGATCTCTCTGGAAACAGAGTTAAATCTAGATAGTGAAAGGTGAGTGCTGGTTAGGGATGTTATGTGTGTCTATACAAGACATTTATTATACTAATGCAAATTAGAAATAGGGCTGTATTTTCTTCAGTTTTAAACAGCACTAATGAGGAGAATAATAAACCCCAACAAATAGGAGATATAAATTTTCCTGGGAGGAAAGAGAATTAGTTCTCCTGTAAATTTTACTACTGAATTTTTGGTTGTTGGTTTATTGGTACATTTCATTCCAACATAGAAGAGTCACAGAAAAAGTCATTTAGAATAATTTTTAGGAGTCAAAAACTCTTTAAAAATTTCAGTTCCTGTCAAATAACATTTTTGAGGAAAATGTTCAATTAAACTAAAAAAATCTTCATTTATTATCATACTTCAATGAATACAGCATGGAGCGCAAGGATTTTGAAGAAACCAAATTGTAATTTTCAAAGTAATTGCCTGAAGTTACTGCCTATTATACAAAAAGAAGACAAAGTAGACATAGCCTCTCTTCTTCAACCTCTATGCGTTTGTGTACCATCTTCAAAATGGCTTGTGGGAAGTGACATGAAAACTATGTTGACACAAAACCTGTAAGTGAATGCTTGTAGTAGCTTTATTTATAATCACTCCAAACTGGAAATATTCCAAATGTCCTTTAGCCTGGGTATGGATGACCCAATGGTGGTACCCATGTGCAACGGAAACAATTCATCAACCAAAGGAAACAAACTACTGATACACGCAACAATATGCAATGAATTAGGCTAAATGAAAGAAGACAGACTCAAAAGGTTGCACACTGCATGTTTCTGTTTCTATAATATTCTTGCAAAGCAAAGTTATCAGGACAAAAAAAAAATGTATCTGTAGTTGTCAGGGGATTGAACTGGGGAGTTTCACTACAAAAGCAAATGAAGACATTTTTGGGTATGGTTGAAACTTTCTAGATCTTTCTTGATTGTTGTGGCAGTTAAATCATCTTATGCCTTTGTCAAAATTTACAAAACTGTACACTAAAATGGGTGAATTCTACTGTATGTTAATTGTACTTTAATAAAATAAATCACTTGGGAATTTCATTATCATCTTATTGTTAACTTTCTATCCCAGCAAACATTAAAATTGCCTCTTTTTCTTTAGCTTTATAAAATAATTTGCTTGATGGGAAAAAATAACAATTTTTTTTTCTTTTTCACTAAAACATAATGTCAAAGCTTTGATTATGTTTTTGAAATTCTAAAATTTTTTTTTTTTTAAATTCTAGATGGAAGCTGTATCCACGGATGCTCCGGAATGTTGCTGAAATAGACCTGTCCACTTCCATTCTAGGACAGAAGGTCAGCATGCCCATATGTGCAGGGGCTACCGCCATGCAGTGCATGGCTCATGAGGATGGGGAACTTGCAACTGTGCGAGGTAGGAAGAGGGTCCTCACCATAGGGACTGGAGGGGGCTAATATTTAGCAACTTCTTTCTCTGTATGCACCAAGCAAATGCTTCCCTGGATATTTTTACACTCAGAAAAATTAACCTCATTAACTCTACGGTTGAAATGCCTGTTGCATTCCTGCTCCTCTACTTTCTAGCTGTGGGACTCTGGATAAGATACTCTCTCTGTGCCTTGGTTTCCTCAGCTGTAAAATGGGGATTACAAATAGTACCTACCTCATTGGGTTATTGTGAGGATTGAATGAGTTCACACATACAAAGTGCATGCCACAGAGTAATGGCTCAGTAACTGTTATATTGTGAGTGTTAATATCAGCATCTCAGGAAATGGAGATCTGAGAAATGGATGCACCCAAGGTAGCCAGGTGGTCACAGAAACTGAATTCAACCTTATGACCACCTTGTATCTCAAAGCCTTTCTGCTTCTGCTAAGCCAAAGTGTTCACACAGTGAAAGAGCAAATGCAACAACCTGGTTGGTGGTTTTCTTCCATGGTTTTGGATCATGACTCTTTTTTATGGATGAGTTATATTCCCAATAGAGCATGTCCAGCTGCCTTAGTAGGGAGCGATGAGAAAATCAAATATGATGGAAAGAAATCTCTTATTAGGGCTAATTTATTAACTTTCCAGTTCCCTAGCAACTATAAGCATTTGAAAGTTTATGCGTAGTAATGACTCTTCCCAAATTCTGCTTCAGAAACTCATATTACAATTAGTAATAAATTCTTTTCATGCTAAGCAGGGCAGGAAATGCAGATCAAAAGAGCATGAACTAAATACTATTTTAAAGCATTTCAGTTTTAAGAATTAAGGATCTTATGAATTTGCCTTCCTTCTTGAAACGTCTAACACAAAATTTTGTCAGGGATGTCGGAATGGTACAATGAGGTTTTGCTGGATAGACGTAGGTCATAGGCTGGCAGCTTCTTTAATTCCAAGACCATACACAGATACATAGCTATGGGTCTTCAGCTATCTGTCTATGGTAATCCTGAAACATAGGCAGGGAGAAGAAAAAAAGAAAAAAAAAAAAAAAGAAAGAGAAAAAGGAAAATATTAAGTGGGTATCTATCTGTTTAAGGTTGGGATGAGAAAAGCCTTTACAGGCATGATGCTATAGGGTAACAACTATTAAAATAGAAGCAAACAAATGAACATAAAAAAACTAAATCTTCAATGTTCTCACATTTCTATAAAAATTGAAAGCAAATGACAAACTGAAAAAAATTGAAAAAATATGAGACTGCAAAGGGTTAATGTTCTTTCTATGTAAAAAGCCTTTATATTTGAATAAAAAAATAATATATGACCCAAAAGGGACAAAAAGATGTAAGTGAGAAAAAGATACAAACAGAAAATTCACAAATGGGTACATAAAAATGGCCAATAAACATAAGAAAAATATTCCATTTCACTAATAAGCAAAGAAATGTGAATTATAATGATTTATTTTATGGATAGAAAATTATTATTTTAAGATTATACAGTATGATTAGATTGGGGGAAATGTGCATTTTCAAACACTGATGGGAAAAGTATAAAGTGAAACAATCTTTCTAAAAAATAATTCGGCACTCTATATCAGAGCTCTAAAACTGTGAATTTCATGTGATGCCATAAATTCTTTGCTGAAATGTGCAAGGAAATAATCATGATTTTTGAGGATAGACATTTCTGCAAGGGTTTTCATGCTTTTGTTATTTTTAATAGGAGAAATATTAGGAAAAAAAAAACAACCAAATGTCCCATTATTGGAGATAGGTTGCAAAAAGTAGGGTACATTAAATATAACATAAAATTTTGAAAACAATATCATAGAAAGAGTGTAATGGCATAGAAAGATTTTACAATAATATTTTTAAAAAGCAGTTACGAACAATAGTTATTAATAGATCCTAAAATATGCTTAGTTTTAAAGACCAAGATGCTGACCACAGTTTACAAAGGTTTCTTTATGAGCCATGAGATTACTCCTGGCTTTATATTCTTCTGATTTTTGGTTCATACTTATGAACTATTCTTTGAATGGAAATGAGGGAAGGAAGCAGAGAAGGCAGTAAGCAGAGCTCACCTGGTAAGACAACATGCAGCAAGCAAATTATTTCTACATATATTAGTTTATTTTATAATTTACAGATCCTCATTATGTGGGTAAATAGCTAGCATTCCAGAGAAAGCAGGTTTTCTTAGCTAGTCAATGACAAGCTTAACTCTCCAATTCACTTCCGATGGTTTCGAGACCACTGCTGCTTATTCTCGGTGGCGTTGGGCTGGGCAGAAAGAGGAGAAGGAAGCTTACTTAGAAATTATGATGCGGTAGCCCAGGCAGGACTCATTTATACAGCATTGTTTTCCCCAGCACTAACATGGGGGAATATTAAATGCCTGTTAGAGTCTCATGCCTTTAGATTTATTTAACAAACACTTAGAAAGCAATGACTGTGTTCCAGGAACCATTCTATGTGCATTACAAGCATGAAAGCATTGAATCCTCGGAGTGGCCCAAAGGCATAGGTCATATTATTAAGCCCATTTTACACACGAGACACTGAAGCACATGCCAGATGAGTAGCTTGCCCAGGGTTACGCGATTCATAAATGCCAGAGATCCAGGCATTCTGTCTCTAGCATCTGGGCTCCCAGCCACTTTGTGTTGTCTTTAATTTCCAGAAAATCCTCTAAAGTGTCATGAAGAGAAGCCCATGACACCCCCCTAGAAGTAATTAATTTATAGTTTTAGGTCCAGGCAAAGCAGGCCCCCGGAAAGTGAAATATACAATAGATAAGGTGGAACCGGCACAGCAAGGAGGGCGTAGTGACACTGAGGGGACAGAGGAACCGGGGATGGCGATGAAAGTTCACACACGTTGCCCTCAAGCATCTAATATCTTCAGTCCCTTCTGCTCATGGCAGCAACATCAGTTTATGTTCCGCATCGTACTAGAAACCTCCCTCAAGGATGTCAACACTCTTGAGGTTTCCGTCTGTGTTCCAGTGACCACCTATGGGTTGTTGCCTATTTAATATCTAGATGTATCCTGCGAGCCAACGGCCATTAGCTTGTAACCAAGAGTAGTCCTTGGTTGGTGGGTTTGGTTGTGGAATAATGGGTTAGTGGAAGGAAAGAAGGAATGCCTGGAACAGATGCTGCTGGTGCCCTGGATATATCTCCTTGCTACTTCACCTTTCTGCCAGAACCTGCTGCTTTTTCCCTGACAGTTTCTCTGGCAACAGGAGCCCACGTATAGGTGAGTTGAGAGTGGGCAAGTGGGAGTGGGTCCCTCAGCCAATGATGTGCAGCCGTTGGTGGATAAATACCTCAACTCTCTTTGATAGGGTAACTGAGTCCTTTTCCAGTAGCGTCACTCAGTGTTTGCTAGAAGGGTTGAGCCCCAGTTGCGCACAGAATTTACCTGCCCATTGACATGCGTTCCTTTATTGGCTGCCTTCTCCTGCCTCTCTCACTTCCCTACTCCTTTCACTCATCTTGAGATCATTTCCAAATAAAATGACTTGCTCTCACATCTTTGTGTCACTGTTGGCTTCTGGAGGTGTGCAGACCAGGGTAATAGCTCACTGAAGACTGTATAGGTAGCCACAGGCAAATTTAAGCAAGAACATGAGAACATTATTTTTCTTTCAGAAAACGAAGATATTTGATTGATTTCATCATTCCCAGAAAGATTATGGAAATCCTCTCAAGCAAGTCTGATCCTTGGAAAATCTAGGAAAGTTGTTCTGGAGGATTTTTTGTTGTTGTTGTTAGGCTCCTAATTATCTGGCACCTAGGTTTTCCTGTTTCTAGGGACTTACCCCCTTGATAGGAAGGGAAGTTGGGGCCAAGTTCAGAAGACGGAAGTTGGTTAGCAATCTCTCTGGAGAAGTGTCCCCGTCAGCATGGTCAGTGAGAGTAAGCGAACGGCATTTGAGTCCACAATGATCTGGCCTGAGTAATCAGAATGGGCCTCCAGAAAGTTCTGGAAGTTGCCACGGCACCATAGTCTTCCTTTATCTCACATAGTCCGGGTTGACTCTCCAGACTTCCTCATAGAGCCTGACTTCAAGAGCCCTCCTGCCTTTCCTCTCACCACTGTGGGGCACAAGCCCTGTGCAAACTGGGCCCGAGGACAGAACTCCGCTCTTTTACACTGCTGTGTAGTCGCAGAGTGACCAATGAAGCTACACTATTTTCATTTCAAAATGGTGATGGATATAAGGTTGCCAGATGAAACACAATGGGCCAGTTATAGCTACATTTCAGATAAACAACAAATCATTTGTAACTCAGTGTTCTGTATGTTTGCTCAATCTGGTAACCCTAGATGAGTAAGAAGTCTTATCTCCAGGGTTTCTTGTGAGGATTCATGCAATAAATGCTAGAAAAGCTTACAGAAATGGGACATACACACTTTTATTAGCCCCTCAGAGACCAAAGTCCCCAAATCTCTTTCTCACATAAAAACTCATCTTCAGAAAAGGACACTCCATTTACACCTGAGTGGAAATGAAAGTTGTCTTTTTTTTTTTGCTAAAAATATTTTTGTTTTAAGCTTTGTGCAGGAATCTCAAAAATGCCTTTGAGGGCCAGGCTCGTAATGCGAATGTCCAAAGAGGGATGAAGCTATGAAAATAACCGTGCAGGATCAGGGTGGACACTACAGCAAGCCTGAGCTAGCGAGTTCCATCTAAAGGGGGCGGTCACATCTCAGCTCTTGCTGACCCGAGGGAGCGAAGATGTGAGGCTTCCAAAACTTCCCAAATTTTAAGAGAAGCCAGAAATCTTGATTTTTATGTGCAATCTTCCGATTTTTAAATGTTAGCAAATCAAAATTCCCTAAAACATTGTTTGGGGCAACAATGTGTGGGCCAAAGCAAACACTTTTATGGGCTACAAATGTCCTCTGGGCTGTCCAGGTGGGACATCTGATTTATGTGGAAATTCACCACTAACTAGTTTCACTTCTT